CGGCGTGCCGCTCGTGACACCTGTCTTCAAGAAGTGGTGCTCCATCAGGAGTCTTCAGAGCCGGATGAGATGCAAAGGAGTGAGTGCTCTGCCTCGTGAGGCTTTTTATCCCATTCGGTGGCAGGACTGGAAGAAATACTTTGAAGTGGTCACTTCCTCGGAGCTTCACCGACTCTTCAGTAACACCTATGCAGTGCATGTATGGAACAAGAAGAGCCAAGGGACAAGGCTAGAGATCACCTCCCAGGCTTTGCTGGCTCAGCTGCATTCTCACTTCTGCCCTGCCACATATGATATCATGAAGAAGGACTCTGAACGGCAGTGAGTCAAGGGTGAACTAAGAGATGTTACCCAGGAGCCCACAGCTCTCCAGCTGTTCCATCACAAATGAACCTTCTGTTGAAGTGATGTGGTGAGAGTTGAGGACAAAAGCCATTTGTGGTGTGTAGGTGGAACCTGTAGCTTCTGCTGATGTCTGTGTAGCTCTGTCTTGACTTTAACTGCCTACCAGCAACATGTTCCTCTGCAGGAGCTTTCTTCTGCTTGACTTGGTTAGGTAGAGATATCTCAGGAGGGAAGCAAATGCTGGGCAGCCTCCATCATCCCTTCAGAGAAGTTAGGTCCCTTTCTGTGGTTGTAAACCTGGAAGAGGCCTTTGTATAAGAGCATCTCATCACTCAATTCTCAGGACTTCTGAAGTTCAGTCCTCAAAGCAACAAAAGGATGGGAGAGCAAAGAGCAAGAACTGAGGAGGAGGTTAAGGATGTGCTGGAGAAGGTGTCCTGAGAAAAGTGTAGAGGAAAACAAAGAAGAGAGCTAAAGCAACTTATTTTTTCTCTTCATTCACTTCTGAAGCCTTTGGTGCATAACACTTTTTCATGTCTGGTTTGAGCTGGATGTTGCAGTCTCTGTTCGATGTCACAGATCCTCAAGACATGGACATTTGGTGCAAATCAGAACATGAGGATCCAAGGCCAGCTCATCTTTCAGAAACAGCTCTTGTGCAGCAATGATTTATTTTGTAGTAGTGGCAAATTAACACCCTGCAGTGAGCAGGAGAGCTCATTCAAATTATACCTTAAATTGCACCTGACACAGGAAGAGCTGAACTATCTTTTACACTGAGTTTGTCCATAACTTCACCTCAGATGTACCAGATCTTTCAGCAGTTGGATGGATCCTAAAGGAAAGGCATGATATTTCCAAGGCTACAGAGAGCTTGTTAGTGAACCTGTACTGTCTGAATTGAACTCCATTTATGAGTCGTTTATGGCAGCCTGGCGTACCCCTGCAATTCATTGTCCAGGAGTACAAATCTCTCCTGGAACATCTTGGGGAGGGCAGTGAAAAACTTTACTCTTCTCTCTGAGCATCTTCCTGAATTGCAGTGAAGAAAACTAACATATCTCTCGCAAGGTGCTATTGTGCCTTTGAGGGTTTCCACCACAGAGACAAGTTAGTTGGACAAACCATGTGAGAACACTTGTCCCTTGCCTTGATGACCAAAAGGTCATATTGATACTCTTATGGTTCTTGTTGAAAAATAATCGGAAAAAAGTGAGAAACAACTATGTCAACATCATTACATCTGGTTCTCACCACACTATTAAAGGGGGGTGCTGATGTACATGAGCTTGGGACTATGATATAAGTGTATAATGCAGATGAGCAGAGCATTGTCCATGCCCTCTCCTGTGCTAAGAGATTATGATCTCACTGAAAAATCTCTTCTTCCTCCAGTGTGCATCCTCTTCTTATACCTAGAAACAGCAGTGGGGTAGTCCAGTGACCCCTTTGATGACCATGAGTCAGTCAGGTCTTCAGTGTCATCTGGCCTCAAAGTGACAGATCTTTCACATGGTGCTCCCTGCAAGTCTTCTGAATGTGACTCAGATGTTTTCTAGATCTGCAGTTGCCTGAGGCCTCTTCTGTTTCCCAGGTCAACCATAAGCAATGTGAGGTTTGCTCAATTCAGCCAAGGCAATGTCAAAAATGTAAAAGACTCTGCATGCAACATTCCTCTGTCTCAGGTTCATTTGTGTCTTCTGTGATGATAAAAACAAGAAAGACAAATTGCCTGTCACTTTTATAAAGTAGTTCCCTGCCCCTCAGGGAACGTGACTGTGGGAGTTTAAGGAGGGTGTCTATCTTTTTGTGTTGACTTTTTGATTTGGTTGGACTTTTTTATGCTGAGCTGTCTGGTGCTGATCCGGGGCCAGTGCTGCTTTGTTTGTAAGCTGCCTGCCTGTGAGTTGGGCAGGGTGTGAGGTCTGTGCACATGTTGCTACCCTGGAGTGAAGAAGGTGCTGCAATCACCCCTCCAGCAGCTGGCACCACATGCAAATGTATGTGTAGTGCTGCCCAGCTCTAGGGTATAACCTGGAGGGTTTTAGTATTTTGAATGTCTGCACCTCTCCCAGCAGTGAACATCTTTAAGAAAAAGACTATGAAGAAACAGCAGAACTTCCTGACTGTACAAGCATTCTTTGACAAACTAGATGGTATAAATGGATGCTGTTTTCACTGTCTACTCTCACTGTCACTACTTTCTGATGGTTTTTTCGCTACCTTTTTTAGAAGTAGCTCTAAAATTGTCAGCCCTGGCCTAGTGTTTGATTAGTGATGGGTGGTTTTCTCCTTCTACTGATTCCTTCTGTTTTGGGCCCTTTGAGTTAAACAACAGAAATCTTACCAGTCTAGGAACCCCGACCAGAGATGGTAAAATGGTGGTTGGTGATCATAAAGGCATAACAAGGGATTCTACTGTGATAATACCTTGAACTGATTATGCAAGTGTTTGGGACCCCCTGCAATGAGTATCTGGTTTGATGTATCACTTCTTATTCTAGGAAAGTGCCTTTTTGGATAAATGGAGTGGTGGATTGTTATTTTGTTTTCTTTTCCCTGTAGAATCAATGTTCTGAAGTTTGATAAGGAAGTAATGCAGCCTTTTACCTTTTCCACTTCATCTTGTGAATGATAAATAAATACATTTTTACTATTAATTCTCTCTGCCAAGATGTTCTATTTTGTTCTGCGAGGCGTTGGTGGTAGGTCTGAGCAATCTGTAGTTATTATGCAGAAAAACATTTGTTTTTCTTTTTTTAAAGTTCTGTCCTGAAGTGGCTCACTAAAATTAGGAGTGTGGAATCAACATGAGAGAAGTTGAGCACAAGTACTTGCAGAAAGAAGGCTCTGCAGACCATGACTATAGGCCATCTTTGGGACTTCAGTAGAGGGAACAGCGGAAAGCACAGTGTGTGGTACAGATTCCTAACCCAACCAAGTATCACCCTGTCATTCATGGCCTGAAGTCTGTCTGAAGCAAGGCATTTTAGTCTCACTCTGAAGGTCTGGATGTTAGTGACCATGTCTGTGCTCTTGTAGACATAAAAGTGGACAGCTTATGCTGCAGCCATTCATTTTCCCACCTGCCTTTCAGAGCCTGATCTAAAGACCCTGGAGTCCAGGGGAGTGTTTTGAGAGGCTGTGAAAGGACTGGTGGGGTCTGGTCTGCAGAGAAGTTTTATTGTGACTCCTTGAGTAAAAGGCCAGGGCAACAGTTTTCCCTTGAGACATGAAATAGTTGCCTGTGCTTTCTTCCTTGCTGATATGCAGCCAGGGATGATGGGAAGTGGTGAGAAGGCACTAGCTGTTTCTTTTCTTGAGCTCATGAAGGTTAACTAGTAGTCAGGTGTGAAGGAGAGAAGCCAGGAGTGGAAATTGGAGATGCAGAATTGGACAGTGCAGCAGCAGAAGAGTATTGAAGGATCAGTAGGGTAATCCTGGACTTTGTCTCCTGGGAGGACACTGAATGATGATTATTTTCTCTGTGCTGGCTGAGAGGTCTGCTATGCCAGGAACTCTTGTGTTGGGGGGATCTAGAACACAGAGTAAGGAGTAATGCTCTGCAGGGTTCTTTTTTTCCCCTCTGTTCTCCTCCTTGTTTCATCTGCCTCCTTTCAAAATCAATGTGTAGTCTGGGAAGGCTGTAGCGCAGTGTAGGTTAAGAGCCATTCTTGGGGGAAAGCGCAGTTACCTGTCTTAATCTGATGTATGCTGGGAACTGAGTTCTGTCTAGGGCTGGTTTGTTCGCGGCAGGGGAGAAGAGGAGAAGCAAAGCTCTCCACATGTTCTGTTTGGATATGCCATTTGTGAACATCTGACCTCTGGTCTTTCATAGGTACTTCAGGTTCATCTCACCCAAGTAATTGTGACCATTTCCCTGTGTTCACTTGACTTGTGGTCTCTGGTGTCTTCTTTACAACTATGCCTGGAACTCCTATGAACCGACATAGTCCAGAAGAGAGAACTGCATGAGGAAGTCACTTCAGCTGCACCCTGCCATTACAGCCCAAGCTGAGATCTTGATCTTTAAATCTGTGTATGATGGTGGAGCTAAATAGCACTCTCTGTAATATGTAGGTAGAGGTATGAGAAGTATAAAGTACTCTTGACAAAGTGGGATCAATATCCGGGGGAAAATGAGGTAAGCACACAAGGTCTGGCAAGTTAAGTATGAAAACACCATAAGGATGTAGAAAGCATTGTTTGAAAACAATTTCCAAAAGGTATTAAAGCTACCAACACAATTAATGTTTTTTCCAGTTGCAGAAGACCATGACACCTGCTAGAGAGGTAGAAAGTCAGTAGGAAATGAGAGATCGAAAGGGAATTCAGAGATCAGTCTGAAACAAATCAGAATTAATTTATGCATCTGACTACAGGTAAGAGGAAGTTGGGGATGTTGGGGCCTGATGGACCTGCTGTTTATGAACAGAGAAGGACTGGTGGGAGATGTGGTGGTCAGAGGCTGTCTTGGACATACTGGTCATGAAACGATACAGTTCTCAGTTTTTGATGAAGTATGGAAGGGGATCAGCAAAACCACCACCTTGGACTTCCACACTTTGGCCTGTTCAGGACACTGGTTGAGAGAGTCCCTTGGGAAAGATTCTTGAGGGACAGAGGGGTCCACGAAGGCTGGATATTCTTCAAGAAGGAGATCTTAAAGGCTCAGGAACAGGCTGTCTCAATGTGCCATAAAACAAGCCAGTGAGGAATAAGACTGGTCTGAATGAACAGGGAACTTCAGATGAAAAAAAGAGAATTTACCAGCCAGGGAAGAAGGGGCAGGTGGCTCAGGAGGATTGCAAGGATGTCACTAGGCTATGCAGGTGAAAGCTCAGCTAGAATTTTATGCAGTCACTGTGGTAAAAGATAACAAAAATTTTTTATACAAATACATTAATAACAAAAAGAGGGCCAAGGAGACTCTCCATCCTTTATTGGATGTAGGGGGGAAGCCTTACCACCAAGGA